GTAGTAGTAGTAGTAGTAGTAGTAGTAGTAGTAGTAGTAGTAGTAGTAGTAGTAGTAGTAGTAGTAGTAGTAGTAGTAGTAGTAGTAGTAGTAGTAGTAGTAGTAGTAGTAGTAGTAGTAGTAGTAGTAGTAGTAGTAGTAGTAGTAGTAGTAGTAGTAGTAGTAGTAGTAGTAGTAGTAGTAGTAGTAGTAGTAGTAGTAGTAGTAGTAGTAGTAGTAGTAGTAGTAGTAGTAGTAGTAGTAGTAGTAGTAGTAGTAGTAGTAGTAGTAGTAGTAGTAGTAGTAGTAGTAGTAGTAGTAGTAGTAGTAGTAGTAGTAGTAGTAGTAGTAGTAGTAGTAGTAGTAGTAGTAGTAGTAGTAGTAGTAGTAGTAGTAGTAGTAGTAGTAGTAGTAGTAGTAGTAGTAGTAGTAGTAGTAGTAGTAGTAGTAGTAGTAGTAGTAGTAGTAGTAGTAGTAGTAGTAGTAGTAGTAGTAGTAGTAGTAGTAGTAGTAGTAGTAGTAGTAGTAGTAGTAGTAGTAGTAGTAGTAGTAGTAGTAGTAGTAGTAGTAGTAGTAGTAGTAGTAGTAGTAGTAGTAGTAGTAGTAGTAGTAGTAGTAGTAGTAGTAGTAGTAGTAGTAGTAGTAGTAGTAGTAGTAGTAGTAGTAGTAGTAGTAGTAGTAGTAGTAGTAGTAGTAGTAGTAGTAGTAGTAGTAGTAGTAGTAGTAGTAGTAGTAGTAGTAGTAGTAGTAGTAGTAGTAGTAGTAGTAGTAGTAGTAGTAGTAGTAGTAGTAGTAGTAGTAGTAGTAGTAGTAGTAGTAGTAGTAGTAGTAGTAGTAGTAGTAGTAGTAGTAGTAGTAGTAGTAGTAGTAGTAGTAGTAGTAGTAGTAGTAGTAGTAGTAGTAGTAGTAGTAGTAGTAGTAGTAGTAGTAGTAGTAGTAGTAGTAGTAGTAGTAGTAGTAGTAGTAGTAGTAGTAGTAGTAGTAGTAGTAGTAGTAGTAGTAGTAGTAGTAGTAGTAGTAGTAGTAGTAGTAGTAGTAGTAGTAGTAGTAGTAGTAGTAGTAGTAGTAGTAGTAGTAGTAGTAGTAGTAGTAGTAGTAGTAGTAGTAGTAGTAGTAGTAGTAGTAGTAGTAGTAGTAGTAGTAGTAGTAGTAGTAGTAGTAGTAGTAGTAGTAGTAGTAGTAGTAGTAGTAGTAGTAGTAGTAGTAGTAGTAGTAGTAGTAGTAGTAGTAGTAGTAGTAGTAGTAGTAGTAGTAGTAGTAGTAGTAGTAGTAGTAGTAGTAGTAGTAGTAGTAGTAGTAGTAGTAGTAGTAGTAGTAGTAGTAGTAGTAGTAGTAGTAGTAGTAGTAGTAGTAGTAGTAGTAGTAGTAGTAGTAGTAGTAGTAGTAGTAGTAGTAGTAGTAGTAGTAGTAGTAGTAGTAGTAGTAGTAGTAGTAGTAGTAGTAGTAGTAGTAGTAGTAGTAGTAGTAGTAGTAGTAGTAGTAGTAGTAGTAGTAGTAGTAGTAGTAGTAGTAGTAGTAGTAGTAGTAGTAGTAGTAGTAGTAGTAGTAGTAGTAGTAGTAGTAGTAGTAGTAGTAGTAGTAGTAGTAGTAGTAGTAGTAGTAGTAGTAGTAGTAGTAGTAGTAGTAGTAGTAGTAGTAGTAGTAGTAGTAGTAGTAGTAGTAGTAGTAGTAGTAGTAGTAGTAGTAGTAGTAGTAGTAGTAGTAGTAGTAGTAGTAGTAGTAGTAGTAGTAGTAGTAGTAGTAGTAGTAGTAGTAGTAGTAGTAGTAGTAGTAGTAGTAGTAGTAGTAGTAGTAGTAGTAGTAGTAGTAGTAGTAGTAGTAGTAGTAGTAGTAGTAGTAGTAGTAGTAGTAGTAGTAGTAGTAGTAGTAGTAGTAGTAGTAGTAGTAGTAGTAGTAGTAGTAGTAGTAGTAGTAGTAGTAGTAGTAGTAGTAGTAGTAGTAGTAGTAGTAGTAGTAGTAGTAGTAGTAGTAGTAGTAGTAGTAGTAGTAGTAGTAGTAGTAGTAGTAGTAGTAGTAGTAGTAGTAGTAGTAGTAGTAGTAGTAGTAGTAGTAGTAGTAGTAGTAGTAGTAGTAGTAGTAGTAGTAGTAGTAGTAGTAGTAGTAGTAGTAGTAGTAGTAGTAGTAGTAGTAGTAGTAGTAGTAGTAGTAGTAGTAGTAGTAGTAGTAGTAGTAGTAGTAGTAGTAGTAGTAGTAGTAGTAGTAGTAGTAGTAGTAGTAGTAGTAGTAGTAGTAGTAGTAGTAGTAGTAGTAGTAGTAGTAGTAGTAGTAGTAGTAGTAGTAGTAGTAGTAGTAGTAGTAGTAGTAGTAGTAGTAGTAGTAGTAGGCGTCTGTGCTGTCTGGTCCAGAAGTCCTTAACCAACTCAGGGCCCATGAACGGCAAAAGAAGCAGCAGTACGGTGCCAGGGTCACTGAAGTCGAGAGAGGCTCTTTCACCCCTCTTGTGTTCGCCACGAATGGGATGGCGGGGCCGGAGTGCTCACGATTCCTGGCGACACTTGCCGGTCGGCTCGCGGAGCGCAATAAAGACATCCGGTATTCAAGCATCGTCAGTGCATTGCGTGTTCGGCTGGCATTCTGCCTCGTACGGTGGGCAATAACCTGCTTTCGCGGTTGCCGATCATCCTACCAGCGTCGCGTCCGCTCGTCGTTGTTGGTGCAGTGTCGACAGGCTGCCGGCTGAGATTCAGTGTCCATGCGTCAATCTGGACAATATAACAATAGCTCAAAGACCTTAACAATTGATTACTTCTCTTGACATACTAGTGCATTCTCTCTTTCTTTCTCTCTTTCGTTCTTACTCACTCTTTTCCATCACTTGTGTGCTTACCATGGTATTTTTTTGCCCGTAAAAGTGGTTTGGTCAGTAGTAGTAGTAGTAGTAGTAGTAGTAGTAGTAGTAGTAGTAGTAGTAGTAGTAGTAGTAGTAGTAGTAGTAGTAGTAGTAGTAGTAGTAGTAGTAGTAGTAGTAGTAGTAGTAGTAGTAGTAGTAGTAGTAGTAGTAGTAGTAGTAGTAGTAGTAGTAGTAGTAGTAGTAGTAGTAGTAGTAGTAGTAGTAGTAGTAGTAGTAGTAGTAGTAGTAGTAGTAGTAGTAGTAGTAGTAGTAGTAGTAGTAGTAGTAGTAGTAGTAGTAGTAGTAGTAGTAGTAGTAGTAGTAGTAGTAGTAGTAGTAGTAGTAGTAGTAGTAGTAGTAGTAGTAGTAGTAGTAGTAGTAGTAGTAGTAGTAGTAGTAGTAGTAGTAGTAGTAGTAGTAGTAGTAGTAGTAGTAGTAGTAGTAGTAGTAGTAGTAGTAGTAGTAGTAGTAGTAGTAGTAGTAGTAGTAGTAGTAGTAGTAGTAGTAGTAGTAGTAGTAGTAGTAGTAGTAGTAGTAGTAGTAGTAGTAGTAGTAGTAGTAGTAGTAGTAGTAGTAGTAGTAGTAGTAGTAGTAGTAGTAGTAGTAGTAGTAGTAGTAGTAGTAGTAGTAGTAGTAGTAGTAGTAGTAGTAGTAGTAGTAGTAGTAGTAGTAGTAGTAGTAGTAGTAGTAGTAGTAGTAGTAGTAGTAGTAGTAGTAGTAGTAGTAGTAGTAGTAGTAGTAGTAGTAGTAGTAGTAGTAGTAGTAGTAGTAGTAGTAGTAGTAGTAGTAGTAGTAGTAGTAGTAGTAGTAGTAGTAGTAGTAGTAGTAGTAGTAGTAGTAGTAGTAGTAGTAGTAGTAGTAGTAGTAGTAGTAGTAGTAGTAGTAGTAGTAGTAGTAGTAGTAGTAGTAGTAGTAGTAGTAGTAGTAGTAGTAGTAGTAGTAGTAGTAGTAGTAGTAGTAGTAGTAGTAGTAGTAGTAGTAGTAGTAGTAGTAGTAGTAGTAGTAGTAGTAGTAGTAGTAGTAGTAGTAGTAGTAGTAGTAGTAGTAGTAGTAGTAGTAGTAGTAGTAGTAGTAGTAGTAGTAGTAGTAGTAGTAGTAGTAGTAGTAGTAGTAGTAGTAGTAGTAGTAGTAGTAGTAGTAGTAGTAGTAGTAGTAGTAGTAGTAGTAGTAGTAGTAGTAGTAGTAGTAGTAGTAGTAGTAGTAGTAGTAGTAGTAGTAGTAGTAGAATTTATTATTTTGATAGGGAAGGCCCTACAGACGTTGCCGTCTTGTTACAGGGAACCCTAAGTGCTCTTTACAGAGCGAAACAAAAACGGATAGATGCTCAACCCGGTACTCTTAGTCCTGATCTGTGCGTTTTTCTCTTTGAATTTTCTAAGCCAATTAATTTTTGAGGGGGAGGGAGGGAGGGTGATCGATGCCTGATGGGCAGTATGACCAGTGTTCAGTTTCCATGGCAACATTGTTGTTGATATCGAAATGCGGGCGTGTTGGATTTCTTGCGAATTCAAAATACAAAGAACAACATTTCTCTTGTTTAGGTTCAATAGTAAACCTATTTACGATACAATACAATGTATTTGCTTTCATTTGTTGTTCAGTTCCCATGGCAACGTTGTCGTTGACGTTGCAGACACATGGACCTTGTTGCCAATTATTATTCATGAGTAGCTGTAATTGCACGTTCACATCCATGTTCATCTAATACAAAAAACATATTCACGGTGCTCATGTAAGAGTTTTGTAAATATGTCCACTTGTTCAATTACCTTCCTATAATAAGATCATTTGATTGAGATTTCACACAGCGGCTTCCAGGCTGGCTCTTTGGGGTTTGTTTGGCTAGCTTGCTTTGGCCTACTCTCGCTAGGTATAGTGAGAGCAGTCCAAAGTCTTGGGCTCTTTCCCCTCACCTAGGGGATTATGAAGAATAATCCCCTGGGTCAGGGGATTATCAGCCCTAGAACCCCTGACAAGTCGAGCTATTAGTAAGTTAGTAGTATTATACAGAAGCCTTGCTTGGATACTCTACTACTACTAGCAAGAGTACATAACCCCCCGGGGGGTTATGTACTCTTGCTACTAGTAACTGTACTATGCAAGGTCACGTGCTGAAAGACAGTGACATCATCGTTACTTTTTGATTTTGTATCATGATTCATGCAGTCTTAGTCTTGTGACATAACAAAATCAGTTTCACTGGCATAATTAAAGTGAAGAAGGCAATTACATTAGTGAGTGGTTGACGTTTGTTCTTAGCTGTAACAAAATCAGTTTCACAAGCATAAAGTGAAGAAGGCAATTACACTAGTGAGTGGTTGACGTTTGTTCTTAGCTGTAGCTATTTTAATTGTGTAACTGTAAGCTGGAGGCTAAAGCAATAAAGGGATACGGTTGCCCATATCGAGTGGTGAAATTTGACTGACGGTGGGTCATGGCATCGGAAATCAAGTTTGATGAACGTGGCTTTGCTCGAGTCTCGAAGGAATACAAGGTGAATGTTACGTTGTGATTGGAACTGGTGAATTCTTGCATGCCGATCAAAACTACGTAACTGCTGGACTGATGAACTACACTGTACAGGCTCGTGATTTTCTTGCAGAGTAGTGATATTGTTGTATTGGTGGCCGTCGTGTTGTTTTGTTGCACAGCCTAACAGAGCAGAGAGTGAGGTGATCTCAGCAAGTAGTAGACGGGCTATTTTTGGTGGTGAGCTTCGATGGAGCCAAGTGGTCTCTCTACGTTGAGCACACACACGCGCACACACACACACACACACACACACACACACACACACACACACACACACACACACACACACACACACACACAGTACTATCGGGCGCCGGCCGAAGAACGGAGAGCCGAAGAATGGCCAGGCTAGAATTTCATCAATCACAGCATACCAATGTATACACGGTGACTCAACTGCGCATAGACAATAAGAACGTTCTAGGCTAGGAGACCGACCCCCCCCCCCCCCCCCCCCCAGTTCTTCGGCGACCGACAGTCTAGTACCGTACACACACACACACACACACACACACACACACACACACACACACACACACACACACACACACACACACACACACACACACACACACACACACACTGCTTGGAACCCAACCATCCATGTACTGCACGTGCAGTACACATACCGTATTATCTCTAATATAAGCACAGTCTCCAATAATAGCACGTCTCCAATAATAGCACGTCTCCAATAATAGAACACCTTGGGGCGGCATTCAAAAAATAAAGTGCTCAGTATCCATTATAAGCATACTGTGTAAATTCATTATCTGTACCGGCGAAAAAACTTGAAATGTGTGTGTGTGTGTGTCTGACATGAATTTGGCATGGCAACATGCCTCTGAAATGAGGTTGAAATAATACTGGAACAGTCTCCAATAAAGGAACGTCTCCATTAATAGCATGGGGCGGAGGTACATTGAAAAAATAAAGGACCGTGCTTATATTAGAGATAATACGGTATGATAATGCATGATGAATGAAGTACGCATGGTGCGATCAGGCTAGCATGATTGAGTGCAGCCCGGGATAGTGGTAGCCTTCAGTGGTTCACTGTTATTAGGAAGCTTTGTAGTCGGGAGCGCTCTTTGGGATCGAGTGCTTGATAAGTTGAGCTTGTGTGCATGGGTGTGCATGTGCACCTGAAAGGCATGAGATTTCCACAATGCATTGTGCAGTACAGCATCATCTGCGTGCACACATCTGTCCTGTCCTGTCCTGAACATTGCCGTGAGACGGTCGCATGTCCCCTCATACGAGGGGCCGACAGCCATGGGGTAGGCACACATCTACACATATGACCATGTGGATGTGGTTGCGTACGTTTAGTATGTAGGTATTTTGTGTACAGTCATTTAAATTATACAGTTGCGCTCACTGAAATCCGACCCCAAGTGCAAAGCTGGCGCCCTGGACCAGTTCCGATTACATCATTGTATGTGTACATGTGTACGTCCAGCTGCATTCGTGCCACTTCCAGGGCGTCAAGGGCATGCTAGTTGAGGGCGCCAAATCTGCACTTTGGGTCGGATTTCAGTGAGCACAACTGTAGTATAAAAAACCTCCAGTCATTTGCGTGTTCTAAAAGCAGGCAATATTTCTGGTAATCACTCATATAAAAAACCTGGTGCTATAAAAAACCTGTATAAAAAAACTGGTGCTGTAAAAAAACCTGGTGCTATAAAAAACCACTTTTTAGGATAATGACTGGAGGTTTTTTATGCTATAATTTAAATAGAATATAAGCTTCGCCCTCGCGTTTACGGGGAAAAAACCTCGGCTTTGCCTCGTATTTTTATTTCCCGTAAACACTCGGGACTCAGCTTATATTCTATACGTACATGTGCCTGTGATATCGCTTGTAGTGATGCACCGAATTGAGTGATAAAACCACTGAAAACAAAAGGGTGTGCTATAGGCCGTTACAGACTGTATAAGTTATGTGCAATGGTGGTCTGTCCACAAATGGTCGATTAGAAACCACATGCATGAATGCACAAGGTCACATTCTCCTGTTGCCACATACACTGTACATGTATCTGCTACGAGAAAGCTGTCTTATCGCGCTTCACACTCATAGCCAAACTGATCTGTGAACTATTCTGCAGGGTTTGGGACTATGTTTGGATATGATTTAGGCTGAAAGCCCTGAACTATGCCATTAGATTAGCCAGATACATGAATGTGCAGGTCACTATGTGTTTGATATGGATGGTGCCATGGCATGCTGTCCAATGACAACGCTGTGTCAATATGAGGCACCAAAACATAATGTACATATGGGAAATTGTCTCCCATTCATAATATCTATATTTTTGTTGACTGTGGGACTGTGCCGCTTGAAATGGCCTGGTTCCGGCAATCTGTAGGCTAGCACATGTTGCATGTTTACCAACCAGCCATGTGTATCTGTGTACATGTAAACATGTTAATTAATGTAAAAGTAGAATCGTGGGCTTGCAGGGTGGTGTTGAGGATTTCTCTTTCTCTGTCCTCTCTCTCTCTCTCTCTCTCTCTCTCTCTCTCTCTCTCTCTCTCTCTCTCTCTCTCTCTCTTTCTCCCTCTCTCTACTTTACCTTTCTCTACTAACACTATTTAGGTGCTGCCAGCACAGCTCTAATTGGTGGAACGACATACGTTGCCTTTGCCACATTCATGAGTACGTTTAGAAATGTTAAAACTGCGCTTCTATTTTTTTGCTATGCTTCCGAGATGTATGTATAGCTGTGGTTGCCGCCATACGTCTGCACAGTATTGAAGTACAGATTTGCAGCAAGTAACCTTCTTTTCCGCTCACTTTGTACGCGATCTGTCGCATATTATTACTTCAAGACGTCAAGTATTATTATTGTGCAATATATGTACTTGTTATGGGCCTTGTGTGGCCATACCCTACTCCCACTCTGCACTGCTAGTACATACTACAAAAAGGAAACCTGTATATTTTCTTCCGCTGCCTGTGCATCTGTTTGTGTGCGTGTCTGTAGAAGACAAGGCTAGACTGCCGTACCTGCGAAGGAATCTGCTCTTGGTGTCGCCAGTGGTGTTCTTCCTCAGTGCTTCCCGGCGCATGGCCCTGGAGACCAGCAAGCAGCTGGAATCTTTGCAGGACTCGCCACTCGGCGAGGTCATTCGTCACAACCGTCGCCTTGCCTCAGAGCACGTCCAGTCTGGCATGGGTCAGCGTGGTGCGCCAACAAGGACAGAAGCGCAGTAAGACACGCGTCTAGTGTAGTTGTAATGTAGAGGTCAAAGTGGGCAAACGTACATGTACCTATTAGAAAGTGGAGTTGGCTTTGACTTGCGAAAGTGCGCAACCCACGAAGAGGAGCCTGCATGTACGTGTAACTGTTGCCTCTTATATACAGATCCTTGTCTTAGTTTCAATGAGTTTATCATAACTATTTGTTCAAGTCAGGGCTGCGAGTATGTGCCCATTTTTCGAGTCAGGGAAATTAGCAGAGTGCCGCTGCTGCTGCTCATGGAGTCTCAGCAGCGTCTCCATGGCCTGATCTAGCCTTCCTAAAGTTATGCCAATTTTCTTTTAGTTCTGTAATTTCAAGGTGTTTATGAAGCTTCATGGACTGGAAAACAACAATTTCTTTCGTGTTTGCTGACAGGAACACCGCGTCGAGAGGAGGTTCATCCTTGGGCAGCGAGTTTGACAGACGTGCAGATGCCAAGGCCAACACGCAGGAGTACGAGTTTGAGCGTAAGTTAGCCTGTTACAAGTGCCGATATATTACACTACAAAGTACTAGTAACGCCTATCTGTGCTTCACACTAGCCCTGAGTGCAGCATTGTCAACTAAGTGTAGAATTGCAGAGGGCATGTGCGTTTATCTGGTACACTATATTGATCGTCTGAAAGGCAAGGTCTCGACACATGTACGTTCCGTTCGCTAGCACCATCTACATATACCATGTTACTGCTAGGTACCATACTGGTCGGGCTGGGGGACTGAACTTCCTAACGTAGCCACTTGATTCTCGGCACTGTGCACCCTTTTTTTTCATTCAAAATTGTCTTATCTGGTGTGATCATGGTGGAAAGCTCATGGCTAGCCTTGACTCCTATTCGGCTTGCTGGTTAGCAGGCGCGTGCGCCAGTGCCCTTCAAGGGGGGGGGGTTCAGGGGGGCCTCCCCCCGGGAAAATTTTCAAAAAATGAAGCAAAATCCTGCATTTTGAGCGCATTTTGAGCGAATGGGAACCCATACGGGGCACGCGCCTGGTTAGAATGGTGATACAGTATCTGGCTACTGATCCCTCAAACTACATGTATGCCTTACACTGAGCAATGTGTGATGTTGTGTTGTGAGCAGGTGAGAATGTTCAGAGTCAGACATCGGGCGGTTACATTGGCGGCCTGGACGCTGATGTTTCCCGGCAGTCACAGCTAGATTCGAACACAGCTGCGCCCTCTTCGTCCGCGGTCACAATGGCAGAGCTGCGCAACCGTAATCGGGGTGCTCACCACCCACTACCGTCTCAACCTTCTCGGCCACTATCTTCGAGCACACCATCTATGGAATCGTTTGAAGAGGATAATTTCAAGCCGTCCTCCGACAACATACGCAGCAGTCGAGGTGAGTTTGAAGCCGCGCTGTCGACTTGTGTGTGCAGGGCCTTACTTTAGTCTGTTAGACACTTTCCAAGTAGTATTGCTTGGAACAAGCAACCCTGCTTCATTGCTAAATGTTAGTGGGAGCCAAGCAGAGCGAGTATCCTTATTTGAAGCAATGGGAAGCGGCACTCTTCCGCGTGGCATTGTACTGCTGCCCAATGTATGCTTGCTTCCCTCTGGCTTGAGCGCGGTGGTCGAGTACATTGTACATGACTGTACAAGATGGTACGAACTGAGATGTTGCGACTTTGGCGGTAGTTGTAGAAGAAAGGTGGCTGCTCCAAATGTTAAAGCGCGAGCTCCAGCGTTTGGAGCAGCCAACTTCTTGTACATGATGGTGACAGCATATCACAAGGCGGATGACACACTGCATTGAACACAGTTTTATGCTGTACTCATCATACCTTGTAAACTACCGGTATCAAGCAAGGCTTCCTATGCCATAACTGTACATACATGTTGTAATAATAGGTCACAGTGGTGATTGAATGTATTAAAGGCTTTCATTTTTAAGCACATTCCTTCTTGGCAGGTATTAAACAACCTTCACCGTACTGCACACTCTACTATTAGACAACAAACGCATGAAGTGCATGATATATTCTAACTACATTAGGACCGCTCAATGAAATCAGATTGCACGAGTCGAGTACACACCGGGCGCTGTGCGGCCACAGACCTGCAAACACTGGACTGGGCGTTGTACTGGTGCAGGGCGCAAACTTGACTCACGCGGTTCTCGCGCATCCTACGTTCAAGAAAAGTGCATGCGGAGCTGGCGTAGCGAGCTTGTAGCGCACTCCAGTTTCGAAGGGTCCAGCTCACGCATATGACCCGATCAGTATGGGTCAGTTTCAACTTTCCCTGCCACAAACATAGGTTATTTCCCTGCCACAAACATAGGGTATTTCTTGTGAGGTAACATTACGAGTTTAGAAATAGGCGCGCCAGCCACCTTAAACAATATGTGCAGGCAAAATGTGCTCTCTACAGTCCATTCAGAAAAAGATGGACTTCTAGCTTTTGGCCATAAATGGGTCAAACTTTGAGTTTTTTTAGAATTTTTTTCTGCAATCCCCTATGGAATCCTCTTCCAATTATGTTTCTGAAGTCTATTTGTCCAAAAAGCAAGCCATAACAAGAATAGGATATCGGCCAGGTTTTGCCCCAGAAGCATTGAATTGGAAAAAAACCATTAAAATCCAGGCCGTTTGACCCTGCCTGCAACAGTGCATTGTGGGGTTCGAACCCCAGTTCAGGTACCCTTTTTGGACTCTTTTTCAAAGTTCAAATTTCGCAGCACTGCACTGTGTACAATGAAATCACGAAAAATCGCCAAATACGGGAACTCGCCAGAGCCAGGGCCCATCTTTTTCTGAATGGACTGTAGTCTAGGGGAGGGAGTGTCATAAGAGGTTGAATTTGAAATGGTGTACGTGGCATATTATTTTTGTTGCTTTGAATGTTGCTGCTCTACACACTTCTAACCTGATTTTCTGTTTTGTTTTCAATGACAACAGGGAAATCTGGTAGCAAGTATGGTGACTCCGGCTTTTCTTGATCAGAGCTATCCCATCCAGTCTGTCAGTCAAGATGCTTTTCAACTATCCTGGCAGAACCGTGTAGTGTGTGAACAGCTTCTTTTTTTTAAATACTCAATGAACTACCATTTTAGACAGTCATTGTCAACGTTTCATAGAGATTTGAGTAGTAAGACATCCTTGTCTAGGCCCATTTAAGTCTTTAGCTTCCGAATTCCATGTCTTGTCAGCATGGCCATGTTGAAGCACAACCAGGCCACAATGTTTCTATTTCTAGTGACTACTCCCTTCTGTTGAATGAGGTGGCCGAGATGGACCTCTCTTTCCCGCTTTCATCGTGAATATCCACTAGCTTTTTTCAATTCTGATTGCACGCATCACTGTAGATGCACTAATTGCCAAATGACATTTTATCCAGACTCAATTTGCCACCAAAGTACATGACTGTATTCTACATGAAGCAATTGAACTACACTGTACAATCATGTTTTTCGATTTTGACAGCATGTTACAAGGCGAGGACGCGTAGTGCTCCTGACTACAACCATAACCCGGTTGGCAGAGCCCGGTCTTGCGACCATTTGAACCGTATTGGGAAAACCCAGGTTCGGACCCTCGTTACTCTATGGTACCGGGTTGGTAGGATTTTTATAATTTTCGTTTTTTGTGTTGTAGAAGTCGTCGTGTTGCCGCCGCAGTATTGTTCACGTTGTCGCAACCAGGGAGTGGTATTCTACTACTCCCTGGTCACAATTACCAAGCAAGGCTTCTGTGTATATACTGTACAATCATGTACTTCTAGTACAGTCGGATTCTTTCTAAGGACGTGCTATAAGAACACAGCAAGATTGCTGAAAAATAAAAACGTATCAGGCTAACCCCTTGGAAACAGCGTTCTTGGGCGCGCGACTCTACAGTAGGCCTATAGGGTCTGTCCCAGTGGAATAACGCAGTTCCACGGATCGCGGATGCATTTTTCCCAGCCTTAATATGCCACAAATTTTGAGGTTGTCTTTCGTGATTTTCCCCCAAGGACAGTGGGGTGGTTGCGGTCACGAGTACACGTACTGATATTGTGCTTTATGTACGTTACAGGAATGGGATGTGTAGAATTCCTTGAACACTCTTTGCGTTCCCGTATTAACGTACGAGAAACTGTTCTGCTCAGGGAGTCGTCAAATATTTGACGACTCCCTGGTTCCAGAGGCTCGAGGGTTCTGTCTATGCGCACGCAAATAAGTCACATGGAATGTACTGGGAATTTCATGTTGGCGTTTCTCCATATACTAATTTTAATGGTACAAACTACAACGTAAATCCATTCGCATTGTCTTTCAGTGTGCCACATGTTCCACGACCAGGGAGTTGCATACAACTGCCACAATAATAATGTAGAGAACCTCATCTCCGCAAAGAAATCTGGACCCAAACACACGAAGCTGTACACTCGGACACTGACACCGGTTCTCTATACAATAGCCGTTATCAAGTTTCCCGTGAAGCACAAACTCTCGAACACACAAGGCGTCCTCCGCCTTGTGGTGTACTGCCACCATAATACATGCAATATCTCTTCCCCCACCCCCCCTGCACACAGTGTTGACTGGTTGTTGCTACCATACAGTATCAATGAGCAACAGAACGAAGCAACACCGTACAGTGGAGAATGATTGGGTTGAAAACAGGCAGTCATACTTGGCATGGAACATCAAGATGGCATGACAGGGCACAGCACACACCACGGAGGCGAGAGATCAGAGGTTACTCGTCGGTCTTCTTCTTCTTCTTCTTTTTCTTCTTCTTGGGAGTCGTCGTCTCCTCCTCTTGAGGTTCTTCCTCGACAGGTTCCTCCTCAGTCTCGGAATGCTTTCTCTTCTTCTTCTTGTTCTTCTTGGGCGTCTTCTTGGGTGTCTCGGCTGCTTCTGTGCCTACAGCCTGGGTCATCTCCTCCATGGCTTCCTTCATTACATCCACATTGCGACGTGGGGCCTGGCCGGTTTCATAGAACGATAGGCGTTCTTCGACCTGGTCACGCAGCTTCTCACCGAAGACTTCACTGGGCACATCTATAAGGAAGCACAAGCCAGCACATAGCATATGCAAAAGTTCATTGTTTGCACGGAGAATAATACAACTTGGAAGTAGCGATCCCACAGGGTCATGCAGTAGAGTAGCAAACACTGGAACAAGTTATAAAGCCCCCCCCCCCCCCCCCGAGCACGTCCATCAACCTGGATACTTTCACCACGGCTGAATGAACAGATTGTGCTTCGGTATAAGGCGTCATGATAAGTTTCCGCGGGTAAGTTAAGAATGTACTTTGCCTGACGAGTTTCAATTCCACAATTCCTGGACCAAGGTGCATGTACTTTGAAGCATTATTTCCCAGGCCAGTGTGTAAGAAAGCTATTCAAGGGTGATCCTACAAAAAAGAAATATCATTTTCTATCTTGTACGCAGACGTTTGGACCAACCTGAGAAGCAGTCTATTCTGGCGGCGATTGAGCACTTGTTGGCCAAGTAACGTGAGATGCGACCCTTGTTCTTGGCGCCAGCCTTGCCAATGAAGGACGAGTGGTAGATCAGACCGTACTTGGGTGTGTTTCCCTTGGTCTTCAGTGCTCTGCATGGCACACAAACACGTATACACATGTACACATAAATTAAAGGGGAAGTATACCCTAAAATCAAATTTTCACCAGTTGTAGTCTTCGGTGCTGAGTCTAATGGTCTTGGTCCGAGGAAGCTGAGACGCTACCTTCCTCCTTTATTCCCAATCGAACTCGCGTACTTCCACCGAAACTGGGTGACTGCGCCCTACTAGATGGGGATTTGTATGCAAAATGTCACTAAAAGCGCCATTTCGTTCTTATAAAAGCACGGATCACCGCGATTGGCCCATATGTTGTAGTCTTTTGGACGCTGAGTCGACTGGTTTTGGTCCGAAAAGGCTGCGATGCAGCGTTCCTCCTTTATTCCCAATCGAACATGGTTGAACAAGTGGTCACGTGCTCCTGCGTACACCAGTCACCGTGCCTGCAGGGTACAACTTACTAGCCTGTTTGACCTTTTTTGGGTGCAGTCCTGTCACTCGAGTTGAACCTTGGTGTGAAAGTTGTCGCCTGCTGGCGTGGTGACCAGGTGATTTGGGCACCCAGGAGCACGTGACCGCTTGTTCAACCATGTTCGATTGGGAATAAAAGGAGGAACGCTGCATCGCAGCCTTTTCGGACCAAAACCAGTCGACTCAGCGTCCAAAAGACTACAACATATGGGCCAATCGCGGTCATCCGTGCTTTTATAAGAACGACATAGCACTTTTAGTGAGATTTTGCATACAAATCCCCATCTATAAGGCGCAGTCACCCAGTTTCGGTGGAAGTGCGCGGGTTCGATTGGGAAAAAAGAAGGAAGGGAGCGTCGCAGCTGCCTCGGACCAAGACCATTCGACTCAGCACCCAGAAGACTACAACTGGTGAAAATTTGATTTTAGGGTATACTTCCCCTTTAACCCTTTATGGACGGATTACTAGCACAGTACGCACCAGAATTACAAAATGTCAGTACAATTTTCAACTTTACCATGTCAAAACTTTGGTGTCCTTCACTTGATTTTCACAATCAAGGGCTCATTGGAAAGCTCTTGACGAGAGCAACGCCAGGGTACCAATCTCCATTATCCAGCCGCCACAAATCAGGCGCGGTAACACAGCAAAGTCGTCTCCAAGCCTGATATGCAAGCAAATTCGTCCCATCACCGCCATTCCACTCTCCTTCATCGCAGAACGCTCAAATCTGTTCGAGACGATTCAAACTTCAGCCGGCTACGTCATAATCATGTGCTCAGTCGCTCAAAGATCACACGAAAAGGGGTTTTCCCCCAAAATGGCGAAATGATCGATCAAAAATTTGAATTTGCCGAGGTAAGAATACGGCGTGCGATATCTCTGGCGTCCGACATCGTAACTCTTCGGCGATTGTTGCATTGGACAGCTTGGAGTTTCCGCTACCACGTAGACCCTTCGATTGTGGAATTTGCTCAAGAAACGATGGAGTTACGAAGCTTTTACCGCCTGCAGACTTTCGATCTTATTAGATCGAAACTCGTACAGTCCGTCCACAAAGGGTTAAGGCGAGGACAATCCGATATCCATGTGTTGTTGACAACAGAAGCACAAAAGTACAAAACACACACATACAATTCATGAAGAAAAGCATCTGAATGGCACATACATGTGAAAGATGGCTTTTATCAGCGACCCTGGACAAGCTTCCAACAAGAGCTATGAAAAGATACATGCATGTAACTTGAAAGCTCAGAGGAGGCATAAGCACTGTATGTACACATCAAACCGAGCATACCTGAACAGGGCCTTCTCTGCACCGAGAATCTGAACTGTAGACGCGGGGTACTTGGCCAGGTTGGTAAGAGAACCAGCATGGGAAATCAGACGAGCTCCAACCTATACACAGCAGAACCAAGGAAACACGTACAGTATAAGCATGAAACACAACAAATGTGTGCGTGGCATGCAAGCTGAAGTAAACACAGCGTTCTCAATGCCAGAACACTTAGGGAAACTGGTGGTGTACATGTAGGTGTCAATTAGGAGCACAAAGCACTGCCACAGATGCTAACGCTAACGCACGGAAAGTCTAGTTGTAAACAAAATTTACTTACGATGTCACCAATGAGAGCTGCTACACTGGGAGCAACTGTGACCATCTTCTTGTGCAGATACTCGAACAACTCCTTACGGTACTCTGCCAAGCGTGTTACACGGACTGCGAAGCGCTCAATGTTGATCAAGTCAATGGGGCTGATATCCATGCCTGCAACAACATCACCAACAACAACAATGACCATGACAATCAGCAAAGGAGACTGCAGGTAGCAACTAAAGTGTCAGGAGTTAAAGATCCACAAGGTTAAGCTTGGACCAAATGTGCAATGTTTGCACTTTGTAGAAAACAAGGTCCACATTGCACATCATGAAGTCGAGCCAGTTTCCGCAATCAGCCAGTGGTGAAGACTGTATGTGCGATTTTTCAAGGTGTCACATTGCGCACATCGCGCACTGCCTTGGATGAAGTCTAACATATAACTGTACAGCAATTGAAATATCAAATTCAGCAGTACCACAGCGATATGCGTACTTCAAAGTACACCTCGCATATGTACTCACCCATAGATGAGCGTGAAGCATCGTGGATGGCCTTAACCTTGGCTGTGTCCATCACGATCTCTTCCAGACCTTCAAGACGCTCCTCTGACAGGTCTTTGCGAGACTTGATGTAGCCGGCGACACGTGCATACATGTAGTTGTCAGTGATGATTTTCACCAATTCTGGGAAGTGATAGGAGTACCATTCCCTGTACATGAGGCAGTCCACACACACACGAAAGAACAATGACATGCATTTATTGGGTGCACTGAGGCACACACTTCACATATGTATGCATTGCTATATGACTGTATTCCTCAACATAAGTAAAGCAAAGGACGCATCAAAATTATCTTCCCTCTCCATATGAATGCACACAACTATACCTTATCCTCATAGAGAAAGTGTTGATGTCCTTGTCCAGCTGATCAACAAGGGCAATCGTCTGAATGATCATGTTGTCAACACGATGTACATTGAACTTAACCTTGGCACGGGAGTACGCATGGCCGAGACCAAGCTGAGCCTTGACGGCGGCAACTGACGAAAGACCAGACACCAACTTTGGGAAGTGCAGGCGGATGCCACGCAGTAACTCGGGTACTACGCCAACTGCCTGGCAGGAGATCTGAAGAGCTTCCTGAATGGCTGAGCCAATCTGCAGTCAGAACAGAGAAGGTAGCCATATCGAAAGGCATGAATTTTGTTACCAGATTTCACATCACACGTGACAATGTAAAAATACACCAGTCGGTGATGCAATAATCTGAATATGAGTTCAATTTCTGTTAGACACGTTGCCAGTCAGGGAAAATGTCCTATCTGTGACGGCACACTCTCCTTGGTTACCTGCCCCAGGGTTGTTATGGCAGCGCAGTTCTTGCCCTCACATTGAAAAGAAGTGCAGCTGATTTCTGAATGTATGTAGGGGATGCAAGGTCACAATGGTGACAGACTTCTTTGCAAGTTTACTAAGTTTGAAGGAACCGGCAGAGGATATCAGGGATCGGCTGAATTTCGGATTTGCCTGGGCTCCGAGAGAACGGCTGTTATGGTATGAGAATTTCATCCGGGATTTCATCGTAGCCACCCAGCGCTTCTTTGGAAACGTCATTGATGACCTCCCTTGAAAGTTTTTTTGTTTGGAATATTTCTTCGTGCTTCATGCATTTATTTTACCGAACAACCATATGAAGTTCATCCACCATCCGTAGAGACCTGAGCATTCAATTTTCGTCTGATGATCGATTTAGTTCGTAAAACTCACAGTTACGAAACAGCAACTGCTCGCTCATGCACACACTAGGCCCAGACAGATCCTGCCGGCAATTCTTTCGGCAAAATATCGAAGAATTGAAAGAGCGGAAATTGCCGGCAAAATCGGAGCAAAATATCGAGATGCTGGGTAAATCGATGCCTGATACTTGGATTTCCTTGTTTCTTACCCGTTCAACAGGATACACTGCCCAGGACGAGATCATGTCACCGAAATAATCACTGGGATTCACTGTGGGCCGACATGATTTTAGAAGAACTCAGGCACACGTGCGTGGAAACCAGTGTTGAGAAACCGACCCTGCGATTTTTATGAAACGCTGTACGGGACTGTACGGGAAGTGGATAAAATACACGTTTTCCGGAGCAAAATGGAGCAAAATATAGAGTTTCTTGTGCCAGGCTCGGCAAAATATCAAAGATTTCACAGCAACATTTTGTGGCAAAATATCGAGGCGAGCTGAGCAGAATCTGTCTGGGCCTAGCACACACACACACACACCCTGCGGCAGTAAATCACATTGCGAATCCAGCACCCTCCCCGATCCCACGGATTTCTGCCGCACATGCGGTGCCAAATTAACAAGGAATCAGTTTACATGTATTAGAGGATGGAAGGCACAATCCGCTGCCATAGTAGACTTCCATGATCGGACCAAGCACATTACCTTGTGGTCACCAACACCAAGCACGACCTTGGTTGACTTCTTCCCACGTGGCACATTGGCCTCAAGAAGTGTACGGAGTTCATCAGTGACGATTCCTGGAGTGAAGGTACAGCATGCAAATGCACATTTATACAAATACATGTGCACATGCACCATCTGCTGGAGTGAAATATTAATTAAAATCAAAATGAAGTCTAGAACAGGAGGCCAAACTATCCACAGTCGATGGCTAAGGAAATTCACACAAGATCACCGGGAAACAGGAAAGAGGAACTATAAGTGAGCAAGCACTACTGATGTCCACCTATACAAGTCTCTGAAACAAAATTGTTTGAAAACAACACAAATCATAAAAGTTATCACCAAAAATTGATACATGTTACTGGCCAGACAAAGCGTTGTACCTTCAGACACACTGTTAGCATTCTCCAGAGCGTTAGCGCCTGACTTGAATGGAGAGAAAGACAGCAACTTCAGTGTTTTTCCGAATTTGCCCAAGTCGATCATAGACTGCTGGACTTCATCCGTTTGTGAACCGATGTCCTCGGCTGCAATGCTCTTGAACACTGCATAGCCGGTGGCATGTTCATACAGAACATACAGCACCTACACCACAAACACCAGCATTGCTATTTCCCCATAGACGAAGATATCGGGTAGAGTTTCATCGAATACTTACCATCTTCTCCAATGGTCGCAAAGAGACCTTTTCTACGATCCTTTGGCCATAATATTTTCACACAGAAGAATCCACATGCAAGCAGCAAAAATCGTGCTCTCTAGCTCTCGCGAGAGCAGAGATTCCCAGACGCCATTTTCCTTTGCGGCGCATGGCAGCGCGTCACCATGGAGAATACGGAGTGGAAATCTTGCATGTGTACAAACCAGGGCATGGGTAGATTAGTACGGGCCGCGGGGTACCGGTACCGCGAGTAGCGTGCGTGATACGTAGTCGTTATCATGGTTATGTGTACGAGTACTCAGTGACGTAGGTCTACACCATGTACCATAATACTACAACCATGACGACTGCACGTGCCCTGCCTACATGTATACAGTAGGCCCTGCATGGATGGCATGCATGCTCTGCATCTGCAAGTCAGTTTTGGTCCCCTTGCGGCCTTGGCCCTTGGCTTGACTCTTGAGTCTTGAGAGTCCAACTCCATGCCATGGCTACACTAGACTAGTAGACCCAGGTGCTCGAAGTCCGTACACTTTTACAGTGTGTGTTTGCCGAGCTGAAACTCACACTAGCAATGATCACTTGCCAGAATCCTGCTCGTGGATGGAAGGTATCTTGTCCAAGTTTGTTCTGAGGCCAGTCTCGATTGAACCAGGCCATCTTTCGATCCGATCTGTTTCTCTGGAGTTCGCTGATTTTTCATATCAAATTTTGGTGTCGCAGAGGGTACTCTAAGTCCGTACTGATCAGAGGTGACTCGAAATACGCACATATTCCGCTAATTGCTAACTAGCAATCCATCGGTTACGACGAAAGCACCGAAGGGATATGTTTGGCATGTGCCTCCACCAGTATTTCTTGCAAAAGCGTAGTTTGTTGCCGAAATGCAAGCTGTTTTAGTCGGCTCAGAGAAGAAGCAGCTGCGCTGTGAAAACCGCGGGAAAACAGTGGTGGAGATGCCAGGAGTGTCCACCTTTCTGCAAGGATTGGTGGTTCTCTGTAAATTCTTCTCCTCTGGCCATTGTCAGCTCTAAGCTGGCTCTTGATGATTGAGTGAAGGTCCGTTTGACGCTGTGTCCGTTCGAAATCGGTCTTGGCAAAGTTGATTTTTGCATGAAATGTAACCCAATTTGTATTTCGTATGGACACTCGAAAACCCACTCGCGTGGTATGGGACTTCTGCTTATCGTAGATCCCTGAAAATTGGTACGCGAGGAGAACATACCACACTGTCCCCTCCATAAAATATTTGAGTCGAATACAATAACAGAACATGAAATTATGGGCGTACGAACTTAGGATACCATGTACGGACTTCGAGCACCTGGGTCTACTAGTGTAGTAGTGAGTACTACAAATGTAGTACAGTACAATCGTGATGACTTCTGTGACGTAACCAGTACGACGGTCTACAGTACAATCGTGATGGCTGCGTATGCCGCGTACACCCATGGCCTACAGAGTAAGTGGACCTTTCTCTGCCGAGGCATGCCAGCTATGGATGAGTACCTGCTTCCACTTGATGATGCTGTGTCCAACATGCTGATCCCTGCCCTTCTGGGACGACCGGTGAATACCCAGGAGCGCAGCCTCCTTGCTCTTCCGTGTCGCTTCGGCGGTCTCGGGCTGCCCCACCCATCGTCGCGAGCCTCCCAATATCAGTCTTCTCGAGACATCACCGCGCCCCTGACAAGCCGTATCTTGGTCCAAGATATGGAATTAGGCACCGCCATTGACGATGTACGCGCTGCCAAGAAGCAAGCGAAGAACACAGTTGACGCCTCGGTTCGGGCTGATGCTGTGCTTCTTTCCTCATCTGTGGATACTGAGTTGCAGCGGGTCATTGCGCTAGCGTCGGAGAAGGGAGCTTCTTCCTGGCTGACCTGTCGACCCTTGAAGCGGCATGGCTTGACCCTCACCAAGGGTGAGTTCCGCGACGGAATCCACTTGCGCTACGGCTGGCTTCCACAGCGACTGCCATCATCTTGCAGCTGTGGAGCCACATTTTCAGTCGCTCACGCTTTGTCTTGCCCCACAGGGGGGTTTCCGTCGGTGCGGCACAATGAGGTGCGTGACCTCACTGCCCATATGCTGAAGCGAGTGGCTCACAATGTCTCCGTGGAGCCCCACCTGCAGCCGGTCACTGGGGAGCAGTTCCGGTATCGCACCGCTATCCAGACTGAGCAGGCCCGTCTCGACGTTGCGGCAAGTGGCATCTGGGGTGGCCGGTTTGAGCGCACCTTCATCGATGTGAGGGTTTTCAATCCTCATGCGACCTCAAACCGCGCCACCTCCATTGCTTCCTGCTACACCAAGCACGAGAAGGAGAAGCGGCGCTGCTACGAGCAACGTGTCCGCGACATAGAGCATTCGTCGTTTGTTCCGGCCATATTCTCTACCACTGGTGGTTTGGGCAAACACGCGGAGTCGCTCTACAAGCGGATAGCTTCTCTTCAAGCCGCGAAGACTGGAGAAGCATACAGCTGTGTTATGTCTTGGGTTCGATGCAAATTGAGTTTTGCCCTACTCCGGTCCAGCGTGATGTGTTTGCGCGGATCCCGGAATCTTCGGCCGGTGCAGTTGGACTCACCTCCCACCTTGGCGGTTGCTGAGGCAGGCATTCGCATTTGATACCATTTGCCTCTGGTTTTGTCTGTATTTGCTTCGTATGTGCTCTTTTCATCCTACTACTAGTAGTTTTCAGTCCGCTATCGGGCGGCTGCACTCCAGCTCTACTTTGCACTTCTCTTAACTTCTTTTTCCTTTGACTTGATCATTGGTATTACATGTAAAAAATAAAAAAATAAAGCTGCAAAAAAAAAAAAAAAAAAAAAAAAAAAAAAAAAAAAAAAAAAAAAAAAACAATCGTGATGACTTCTGTGACGTAACCAGTACGACGGTTACGTCTAGTATGAGTATGACTGGGATGAGTCTGTGCTTGACTGTCACTTGTACTTCCACGAAGACTCGGGAAAGAGTGCATAATGTAACTGTTTGTGTTCTCTGTCCACCCTGCACTCACTCGTTGCGCACACATCCGCACACTCACTCATACGTGTACACCACTATTGAACACGTGAACACTGCCAGTGGGGGCCACCACAGCACAGCGCCCCAACTTATTGTCTTTGCACACAATTCCGCGGTCATGACTATACCGAACCATTGCCTAGTCTAACCAAAAACTCCAGCTACGTACAACCAGAAAACCACGCCCGACCATTATGCATCCGCACACTCTAGAATAATCAAAGCGATGATGTATGAAATTACATGATGATTACTGGGGTGGGTGGGTGGGCACTCTCACTCAACTCTCCGCACAAAGACAAAAGAGGCCGACCCTGCACTCGTCACCTCCTTTTATCCCACACCGTGCTCCCTCGTACCCGTTCCCGGGTGGACAGAGAACACTACTTCTCTGCTAATTCTTATACTGTGACGTCAACCGCAGAGAAGTGACATGACTCTTGCTTTCACTTGTTGTTGACGTTTGGTAATCATGCAGTCTACTGAGTACTGTACACAGTGGCACAGTGGCACAGTGCAAGTGACTCACAGTTCACTTTGTAGATTACTTGATGTACGTGTTTTACTTTACATGGACGTGACGTGGCCATAGTGGCGGAGATCTGCTATTTGCTTGTTGAATGTTCATCATCTGGGAGATCTCCAGTCTGCAAAGACAATGCCAACGGTATTACCGGTAAGCGATCAGTGCATGCGTGTTGTGCATCAAGTAAGTTAGTTGCTCATGGGATTTTTGTAGTTTCCCCAGCCGAAGTCATCATGATGCATGATGGCCTCACCGATAAGCCAGGAGTGCACAACTCCCAAGAGTTCTATACTCCTGGTACTTGAAAGCCAATTAACATTCCATTTAATCATGCGGCTGACGGGCAGGTTGTAGGATTGTTCTGAACCCTCTGAGATTCTCTAAATTGTCAGGATCGAACAACCACACGGCACGAGGACAACTCTTTTCTCTTCCACAGTATATTTCACTTCATCGAATAATTAACAACTAACACTAATAACACCAGCTATTTATAGCATGCAAAACAGCGTACATGCAAAAACATACGCATATTAACCGGGACATAACAGCGTATACAGTAAAAACGCACACAGCGCATATAGCGTATGCCATGCAGCAACATCAGCGGTACGGCAGAGTCGAAATACATTGCAACGAATACAATGCCATAAGCGCGAAGGCCTTTCCCACTTGAGAACTGGTGGTTTGCAACATTCTCCCCACCAAAGGGCTTCTCACCGTTGTACAACAATTCACACAAGTCAAAAACGATCCGGGGCTCTGACTACGCGCCCAGAACGCGTCATCTCCTGCTGCGGTGGTGGTGGTAATGGTGCTGACGGTTCAGACGCTGGCTGCTGCTGGACGATAGCAGGTTGTGCGGCATCGGCAGGCCCAGAAGCCACGTCCTGTGACGATACTTTTTTTTTTTTTTTTTTTTACAAAGTAGCCACAAACCATCATGGTGCAAACACCGGCAAAAACGCACAGAGAAACACATAGGGATGGCAGCCGAAGCAGTGGAGGCGGGGCAAGAGCAGCTCAACCGACCATAGGTCTCGGTTTCAGCACTGCTCATGTGCGCCAAACAGAAAAAAATATGAAGTGAGAAAAATGAGCAGGAGCACAACAGAGCAAACTTAGAAATAAATAATATGTAGGATAGGAGAGCAGGCACACCACACATTGCCACAAACGCCCAGTAGCAGGCATCCGAATGCATATACACAAACACACCCTCAGACACACGCACACACAAACACATGCGCACACGCACACAAACACCACACGTGCACACAGCCACACCTGTCCTGTCCTGTAGAGTCACTGCCGCAAAAGGGTCACGTGATCCCATCACTGGGAAACTTGAGAAGAGAGAGAGAGAGGACACGACGCTCGATGACGCTCCAGGTGCACGGGTAGTCGCATCCGCTTGCCGCATATGCACACGTGCTGGAAGGCTGAGCGCTCCGCTGCTGTTGGTCTATGAGCCACCCTTGAACAGCGATGCCTTCCCCGTCCCCGGACACCGCGAAAGCAGCGACCACACCTGTC